TTGATTTTGAGGGTGAGAAATCCTCAAGATTTAAGAGAGGAGTAGTAGAAAGGTATTAGGAGAACCAGGGGAAAGTTAGAGATACACACTCCATGGTATAGTCATTGTGGGGTGTGTTGGAAAATATATGTAGTTTGGGTTTTAATTCATTGTATGGCTGTGGAGAGCTTTAGATGTTATTGAAGATGCTGTGCATGTCAGTCATTTGGAAGGTGAAATTGTCAGACTGGTGCTCTGAAATTTTGTTCTATAAACAAATGTGGCCTGTGATAAGGAAGTGTACCATCTTCTGGCACAGTGGCTGAGTTTGGAAGACTTTGAAGATACTGTTTAAAATGAGTGTTTTTGTATGAGGGCTTGTCAAGCCTGGATATGTATTGCCTCCTGAGATGCTCACTGTGAATGTTGAGTGATAAACATTCATGTGATTTGGTTAGCATTACTAAAAAGATTGGTTGGGTAGGATATTTGCAGTTTCTATCTTTCCAGATTTTCCTAGATCACCGATTTTTATGAGACCAAGGGAATAAATAAGAGAAACCTTATAGCAAAGCCAGCCCACAACAATACCAAACAGCTCGAACATGTACTTGCGCTGCCTGAAGCATCCCCCTAAGTGCGTGTATGCAGGTTAGAGGCAACAAGTCAGGCAGGAAGTTGATAGGGTTTCCCCCATCAGACAAGAGACAAAGATTGAGGCTACATCAGCCTGAGCAGGAAGGGTTCAGGGTCACATGACCTCTCTGAGGAAGAACAGGAGAGCCCAAGGTATTGTAGTAGCACCTGTGCTTGATTGGGACTAAAATTCAACTTGGGGAAATGGCCTGAATTACTTAAAGTCACCAAATAGATGTAAAACCAAGGATCAGTCATACTGAGGGAGGAGTGGAGTGGACACTGGAGCCTTTGGGAATGTCACAAGGCCCAAGGAAGAGAAGCCATAAAGAAGGGTTATGAACTGAATCAGCTATTCTGGTGGTTCTAAAAGAAAGTTCGATGCTTGGGAGCCCAATGGCCAGTGAGGGACTGTTTTTTTTTTTTTTTTTTTTTTTTTTTTTTTTTTTTTTTTTAGCATTTTGGGGAAACAGCTGAATTGCAGAGGTTCTAAAACTAATCTTTCTTGAATTTAGTGAGAGCAGAATATACCACAGGTCATTTGTTGTTGAGCTACATGGTAGGGTGCAGGTAAAGTACTGCAGAAACATCCTGGAGAGAGAGCACAACCCGGTGTCCTCATGGACAGAGGACAAGAGGGAAAGATTGGTGCCTCTGAAAGAGGGAGGAGGTACTGTTTGTTGTTAGAACCTGGTCTACAGACTTGCATTTCTTCAGGGCAGAGGATATTGGTGGTTTCTAGGTAGGAGGTTATGATTTAGGTAGCAAATGCTGCAGATAACACCAGAGTCCTCTTTATAGAGTGGCCTCTTGTTTGGAGAAGGTTATGTGTACTGGAGGGGAAAAGGGATTTAGATTTTTCTGTTTAATGTATTTAAACCCATGGTCTCTAATTCCTTTTACTTTGAGAAAAATCATTATTACCATTATGTTGTTTATTATTAGCTTAAAGTTGTGTTTGGCTTCCAAATTTTTTTCCTTTGGTGTGCTTTGGAAGTTTTGTTTTTCTTAAAATGGTTTTAGATTTTCACTTGTCTACTTTAACAAAATATTTAATTTATAACTTACTGGGAAACTATTACAATAGGTAAAAGGATGTTAGAAATGTAGATTACTGTATTGTTCAGTGGGTGCTATTATGTCATTGAGCAGAGTAAATTTAGTTATAAACTAGTCTTCAAGAACAAACCCTAAGGTTTCAAATTCTGCTGCTGACTGATTGGCTAGACAGTATTTCTTTTCTTTTCAGAGTTAAGAATTAGTATATGTGGATATGTCCTTTGAGAAAGAAATGTGGCACAGAGTAGACCACTGGTTGCATATTTTGTTAGAATGCTCCCCTTCTGTGAAATGCTTCCAGCAAGTTAGGTGTGGGGTTGGCCCTGCCCGTGCCCACAGGCTCTGCCCCTGTCCACAGCACCACTGGCCGTGCGCAGCCTGCAGGACCTGGCCCGTCTTGCTATCCGTGGCAGCATCAAGAGGGCTATGCGCCAGGAAGCCACCAGAGGAGGTGGACTGAAGAGCACACCTATGTTTAAAAGAAGGCGACTTCGTCGCCGGCGAATGGAGACCATTGTCTTTTTGGACAAAGAGGTCTTTGCCAGTCGAATTTCCAATCCCTCTGATGACACCAGCTATGAGGATGCAGAGGAGGATCGGCGGGAAGTGGCAGAGAGGACCTTACGGGAGGCCAAGCCTGAGCCACCAGTAAACTTCCTTCGCCAGAGGGTATTGCGCCTCCCATTGCCTGACCCCCTGAAGTACTATCTGCTGTATTACAGGGAAAAGTGAGCGGTGGGAGAGTGGGACCAGGATACCCAGAGCAAACTGCTGGCCAGGTACACGTCTCGTTTCCTTGTATTGGTTCCTGACTATTCTCTAAAACTTTCATGCAATGGTGTGATTTATTTAAGCACAATCTAACAAGAAACTTCATAGAATTATTTTCCTCAGTAGTGGGGGTGGGGTGGGGTGCACATCTTGTTGGCTCTACTGTAATTTGAACTCATTGGGAACTGCATGATGTCTGCTCCTTGTGCAGACAAACTTATACATTGAGGCTGGAACTGAATTGTATTGGATCCTGTTGAAGCAAGGGGCACGTCTGTAAAGGTATGACATCTTCTTTGGGTGTGACATACCACTCAGTTTGAATTTTATGTCATGAGTCTATTGCTGGCACTGAGTTCATCTGACTTTTGTCGTTTTCTAGGTTGGGAAATGTTGGAAAGCCTCCCTTTATTTTAATCAGTTAATCAAATCTTATGTGAAATATCAACTGGAATTTTTAAAAGGAAAAGAAAATGAGATGCAGGAGTAAGAATAAAATATAACACTTCCAGATGTCTTTCTGGAATTTCCAAAGACTTCTGAGCAGTTGACCCCTGCCCCCATAACTTCTGTTACTTTATAGGAACTACCATCAAGTAATCTCTTGTAGGATATTCTAAAAGGAAAACAAGTTTTTCTTACTTAAGAAAAAAAAAATGTGTGAGTAATAAGCTACTTGCTGAATTGCAAAGACCACAACAGGTTTCTAAGGTATTTAAATGGGAATTTTCAGAGCAGGTGGAGAGACTGCAGGGTGTTACAGACAGCCCATGCTTCTCGGCTTTGTTTGCTATCTTTCTGTGATCATATTAGAGTACCAATTCATAGATTTTTATCTTTTATAATTCTGGAGAAAAATTGTTAGTTTTGTAAATTTTCTTAAGAACAGATGTATGTATTTTACTAGCTCCATTGCATTAGAGCAGTTTAACTCAGTGACTTGTGAAATTTATTATCTCCAGGCCATTGGTGTTGAGAACTATCGATTTTTTTTTTTTAAGCAACCTTTCTGGCTGTCAGAGGGCAGGATTTGAAGTTACATTGCTGATTCCAAAAGCTGGCTCTTAAAAAAATTTTTTTAACCCAAAGAAAAGAATAGTGTAAATTGTTAATATTAAACTCAAATTAGAGTGTTAATTTAGGATTAAGTACTGAAATTTTATGATTTATTTTCAGGTTAGCCTCACATGACTTGCAGGGAGAGGTTTGGTCTGTGATTTCTCTAGTTTAAATGGACATTTTACATCTTTTTTTTCTCTGTCTTTTTAAAGTTAGTTGAATCACTTTACCACACAGTATAGTCTGCATGTATAGCTGGCAAAACATACATTGCCCTACATTATAAATATAATGTACACTTCCATTACTTTAAATATAAGCTATTTAAAGAAAGTTCATAGTTGTTTTTACCTGTCTTTTAACTCCAAGTCGGACTTCTTTTCTTTCAGAGAGAAATGCATGCTCTAACTTGACTTGCAAGTGTTTGTAGTTTGTAGATCTTTGTTGATGTTAACTCTAATTGTTAGGTAGACTTTTATGTTACCTGGAAAATTTTGGACATAAATTTAAATAAATTTGTGAAGTCTGTATATTAGGTGGCTTGACTGAATTTTTTTCTTGTGATTGAACATAGGCTGCATTTTTGAAAAGCCACATTTGCCTTTATGCTGGATTTTTAAAAATTACAATGCATAAGACATTTTTCCTTTATATGTTAAACTTTTCTTAGCATTTTGTATTTATATGTTATGACTTTGTGATTTTAAACCATAATTCAGTTAAATATAGTTATAACATGTGAGAAATAGATTGGTCTTTGTAAAACCAGGGGAAAATTGGAATTTTCTTGTGAGTAATCATACTTTGCTTCCAGAATTCAGTATAATGTACCACATTCTGTGTTCAGACTAGTAAATCTTAATATAGTCAAATGTCTTCAGGATCTATATTGTAAACAACACTGAAAACTGCTTATGTTTTAAGGAGTGGGTATTTTTAAAACATGTGACTTCTGTCTTAATGTAAGAATCAAAGGTATACATAAAAATAGATTTGCCAATGTGCAACTTAAAGTGGAAAATCCAAGAAATTACAAACACTGATTTTTTTCAATGAGATGAAATACGTGGAGAACTCAATGAATCAATAAAAAAGTAGTTAAGACATTTTATTCTCAGCATTGCTTCTGTGTTTAATATAGGATTCCTGATTACATTTACATCTTGTTAAAATTCCAGTCTGGCTAATGAGATTACAGTTTGTATACTTTTCAAATGTCAGTTTTTCTGTCCCTAAAACACTCTAGTGTTGGCATATCCAACATATGTAAAAGTGAGTTTATCAGATGCCACCCCAAAGGTAGAATGTCGTGTGCAAGAGTATGTTATCTCCAGTTGGCCATCAAAATCCATCACCCATCAGATTACCTTCAAAACAGTACATAATTCTAAGAATCTGTGAAAGAGCTTGTTTTCCCTTAATTAACAAGAAACAATATTAAGAACCTTTAAAATTTCCAGACTGATGGGAAAATCAAGTTGGCACTAACAACTCCATAATTTTTATAACAGTTTTAATGATTAATTTGTCTTTTTATGTGGATACTTGTTACTTTCACTTAATTCAAAGAAAATCTTATCATTCATGTGGTGATTCTCTTAAAGCATCTTAGCAGGCTGATGTCTGTCCACTCCTCCAAAGAGTTCTTCTCAACCCTGTTTTCACACTTCTACTGTATGTCAAGAATCCTTTCGTGGGATAATGATGGGTCTGAACTGAGCTGCAGGCATCTTAGATCCTAGTAATATAAAGAACAGGAAGTGATATCACTAAGGGAGGGGTCCAGCTTTGTTCTGAACCCTATCCTCACTGTCAAGTTGAACCACAACTAGTATTTGATTTCCAAGCTATTACTGGGAACAAGCTAGTTATCCCACTGTGAACTCACATCATGGCCTACAGTTTTCCACATGCAGACTTGATCAGAGCCCCCAAATTCATCATCCCATCAGAAATTCCTCAAAGAAACAGGCTCAGTCTCTACAGTTAACAGTAGAGATCTTAGCTGGAAGCTCCACCTGCAAATACTTGGATGTAAGTAGGCACACAAAATGACCAGAATACTTGTGCAGGTGCTGAGCACTGGCCTCCAGTATCTAAATGGTAGATCTCACCTGATGCTGCCCAGGCTATTACTGTGTCGGAATCTCCACCATCCGGTCAGTTCTTTATAACTAAGGTTGGAAGCTGGATGGTGAAACTTCAGGTTTATGACAGCTCCTCACTCTGTCTTTATGGAAATCCATCAGGCCCATATCAGTTTCCAACCTGTCAAAGAATTTGAGGGACACTCTTTTTGTGTCCTAGAGAATGTGACTTGGAGCTCACCATTGGGCTGTTGAGAGAACATATGTAGCCATATCTGGTGAGTCATTTTTTCCTAGCTCCAACATGCATGAAAATGGAAGGCAATCAGAGGATAATGTTAGGAATAGGCACAGAAACCCTACTTTAACTATGCAATTTTTTAACATTTAGATTCATCTTTATTAAAATAATAAATAATAAAAATAATAAAATAAGAGCACTGTCTGCTTTTATATTTAGAGGACCTGGGTTCCATTTCCAGCACCTGCATGGTAGTTCACAACTGACTGTTATTCCACTTCCAGGATATTAGATGCCCTTGTCTGGCCTCTGCATTCAGTGTGCACAAGGTACACAGATATACATGCAGGCAAAATAAAAATAAAACCTCAAAATTAAAATAATAAATTAGTTGTAAAATTTAACCTTTATTGTGTATATTTAAGACTGACATGAATTTCATACTCGCCTAGTAAAATGATTTTTTATAGTTGCCATGATTGTGCATATCAGAAACACTGACAAATATATTTATGTCTTTACAATGTCATAATTTAATAACAGTAAATTCACAAGACATAGCAGTTTCTTTCTTTCTTTCTTTCTCTCTCTCTCTCTCTCTCTTTTTTTTTCGAATCAGGGTTTCTCAGTGTAGCTTTGGAGCCTATCCTGGCACTCGCTCTGGAGACCTGGCTGGCCTCGAACTCACAGAGATCCACCTACCTCTGCCTCCTGAGTGCTGGGATTAAAGGCGTGCGCCACCAACGCCTGACGACATAGCAGTTTCAATGAAAGCTTCTAAGTATTCCTGCTTTCCTTGGTAATCTTGGCTGACACGAAGTTTTTTCTTATTTTTAAGAACTTATTGTTAATTCTCAAATCACACGTTATAAACCACACAGTAAATATATCTTGGTTAGGTTTCTATGAACAAAAGCAACTTGGGGAAGAAGGTTTGTTTGGCTTACAGATCACAGTCCATTGTTTACTGAAGCCAATGCATACCAATCACAGTTCCCCTCCTTCCTCTCTTCCCGCTCCTCCCACCTCCCATCCACCACTCCTTGGTTCAGAAAGCCGCGAACTTCCCATGGGCGTCAACAAAGCATGATATATTAAGTTGAGGCAGGACCAAGCTTCTCTCCCTGCATCAAGGCTGGGTGAGGCATCCCAGCATCGGGAACAGGTTCCAAAAAGCCAGCTCATGCGCCAGGGACAGGTCCTGATCCCACTACTAGGGGCTTCACAAACAGGGCAAGCTAAACAACTGTCACCCACATGCAGTGGGCCTAAATCGGTCTGATGCAGGCTCCCTAGCTCCCACTATCTCAGGTCAGCTGTTTCTGGGTTCCCCAAGTTACGATCTTGACTCCCTCTTACTCGTACAATTCCTCCTCCCTGACTGTGGATCTCTGCATCTGCTTCCATCAGTTACTGGATGAATGCTCTCTGGTGACAATTAGCGCAGTCACCAATTACAGGAGAAGGCCAAGTGCTCTTAAGCTGAACCATTTAGCCCCTTCGTAGTGCTTTCCTATTTCACGCATGACCTTCGGCTTAGTGGTGGCACCGCCCACAACGGGCTGCGTCCACTTCTATCAATTTGCATTCAAGAAAATGCCCCATTGAGTTACCTACTTATAAGTCTGATAGAGACATTTTCCCAATTGGGATTCCTCTTCTAGATAACTAACTTGTTAAAGTTAATAAAACAAAACAAAAACAAAAAACCCACAGGAGTCACCCCAACCCCTCCCTGTGTAGGTTATAGAATTCTTGCAGAGGATTAAGGAGGTAAGACATTTAAAAGAGGTCTGAGAAGGCAGAACTGGGAAACGTAAAGGAGTCTATAGGAATGAGACAAAAGAACCAGATGGAGGTCTGTGGAGAGGAACTGCTGGTATTGTAGGTCAGAGTTGATCTGTAGAATTGAATCTAGTGAAATGGCATAAGTGAAATAAGTGAAATGGCAGAACTGGGACCAGGTGAAGAAATGGTCAGATTGGAAAGATGGTAAGTACAGATAGACAGGTATTCATACGTTAGGCAGACAGCAGCAGAGAGGTAGTATCAACACTAGGGGCTGAATTAAAGTCCCTGGGACATTAGGTTAGTCTCTGCCTGTCAGTCCCGGCTCAGAAGATGCGAAGCAGCCGGTCCTGCGCCACTGTGACAAGACCTTCCTGAACACGTCCATGGCTCGGAGTGCGGCACTGTCTTCTCATCACCTGTACCTCCCTCCGAACCTTATTCCCGGGTAGGTCAGGCGTGTCAGCTGCCAGCCCCATCTCTCGGGCCATTTAAGCCTGTGCTTGCGTCAGGGAGATCCGTGCGCACGCGCAGGCATTACAGGAAAGCTGGGAAGGCAGACAGCGCACTATTGGAGGGTGGGAAGGACTATCTGCGTTGACCAATGGCATGTGAGAGCTGCCTGCCGCAGTGCCTTCTGGGTACGTGCCAGTGGCCGCTTCTATTGGGCGTCTGCGGCCGCGGAAGCTTTAGACAGTAAGAGCTTACTTGTTGGATCTGCAGCAATGTTGCTTTTCTGTCCGAGCTGTGGAAACGGACTAATTGTGGAGGAGGGACAGCGTTGCCATCGTTTCGCCTGCAACACTTGCCCCTACGTGCATAATATCACACGCAAGGTGAGTCCCAGAGGCGAGCGCCTCCTCCACTGTCGGTGCGCTCAGACTTCCTGCGGGCGGTAGTTTTTTTTTTTGCTCACCTGTGGAAGTACCTCAAGTTCAGTAGTTGGTAATCCAGTGGCATCGCTCCGGCCAAATCGAAGCCACTCTTCTGGTCACTTCAGAGATTTCTGCCTCTGGCTCTCTGCTGCCGGTTTTGTGACACCCAAAAGGTTGCGAGATTTCCGTTTTACCTCTAGGCTGAACCACGCCTTTAAAACCTACAGCTGTCCTCCGCACGCCAGGCTCCAATACGCTTATCACCTTCTCTGATCTCAAATCTTAATGTTCTTTTTGTGGCTCTTCTTGCTCCCAGATCCTGTCGCTATTCTGGAGGATCTTACCTCCAAAAGTGCACGCAGTACTGTTAGCTCCTTCACGTTCCTTTCGCCCGAGTTTTCTTTCCCAACGAGCCATTTGGCGCTCTCTCTCTCTCTCTCTCTCTCTCTCTCCCTCCCTCCCTCCCTCCCTCGGTGTGGGTATGTCTGTCTGTTTCTCTCTTCCTTTTCCTTTATCTCTCTCCCTCTCCCTCTCCCTTTTGGCTGTTGGTACATGCCTATAATTCCATCACGTGGAGAGGCTGTGGCAGGAGATTAAGTTCAAGGCTCACCTGGGCTGCATAGCATATGTATATGAAAATTAAGTAAACGAAGAAACCAAACCCAGCTCTTCCAGTTTATTCTCATTCCTTTTTCTTTTCCCAGGATTCATCGTCTTCTAATATATGTCATTGTTGCTGCTTTGTGTGTGTGGTGCTTGTGTTGGAACCCAGAGAAGCTGCTTTTACAGCCCTTTGTATTGTCTACCTTTCCATTCTTGTTCCTCCTTAACTCAGTGTCCTGAGTTCTGTGATTTCAGATGTGTATCATCAGGCCTTGGTGATACCTCATTTTTAATGTTTGCACTTAAGAGCTGTATGGTAGGAGTTTGGAGTCTGGATATGTGATAAGATTGAATGGTGACATAATTTTTGAAAATTGAAGGATGACTAAAGCAACGAAATGTGTCCCTGGGAATGCTGGGATACCCAGATAAATGGTGCTATTAGGCTTTTGTCTGTCTTTCATGTTGGGTTATTAGGGGTATGAGAGAAGAGCATGGTTTAACTCAGCTGTCTTCCTGCACTGTCTGCTGTTTCCTCCAGTTTCTAGGGGTCTCTGACATTGAAACTGTGCTGTTTTGGGAATATCTCAGTCACAAAACCCCTACATTTTAATGGCTCTTGTCGCTCTTTGAAGAAGATAAATTTTGTATCCATTTACTGAGTAGAGGAAATGCTGGAGGAAAGTTATAGTTTGGTGGCCTGCTTTTAAAACTATATGATTTCTTAAAATCTGATGACTTGTTTTTGTTAGGTAACAAACCGAAAGTATCCAAAGCTGAAAGAAGTGGATGATGTGCTTGGTGGAGCAGCTGCCTGGGAGAATGTGGACTCTACTGCAGGTGAGAATTTTCCCATTACAGAGCCAGTGACTCAACCCTATTTATTATTACTTATTATTATACTTAATAATAATAAATTTATTGTTATTTATTATAATGCAACCCTGTATATTGTTAGGACCAGTAAGATGGCTCAGCAGGTAAAAGCACTTGTTTCCAAACCTGTTAACCTGAGTTTGATACTTGGAGCCCAGATAGTATAAGGAGACAGCTGATTCATGAAAAGTTGTTTACCAACTCCCACCCCCTCAACCAGTAGTTATAAAAGAATTTAAGAAAATATAAACAATAATGACAAATAGCTTGTGTTTGCCAATACAGGAAATATTTTGATATGTTGTAGTCACAATATAGTCATTCTTTAAACTCTAAGCAAGGCATTAAGACCTTTTTGTTTGTTTGATTTTGTGTTTTGAGACAGGGTTTCTCTGTGTAGCCCTGGGTGTCCTGGAACTCTCTCTGTAGACCATGCTGGCCTCGAACTCAGAGATCCATTTGCCTGCCTGCCATGTGATAGGTTTAAAGGCATGTGCACCACCACCTGGCCATATTAAATTTTTTTAAAGCAGATTTCTTTCAAGGATTAAATATACTGAAAGGAAAATCACCATATTGATACCTGCTCTGTTGTTTCATTTAGATTCTCAGGACAGATATGGGCAAGTATAAGTAAAAATCTGGTACATATTCTCTTCTTGAAACAAATTTGGGGTTTATTACAAAAAAGTTTCAATGTTGATTTAAACTTAAATATTGATGGTTGTTGAGAGGAGGCGAGAGGTGTAAAAGGACAGTTGTCCATGCTCTAGTGGGTACAGGCTTCTCAAGAGAATTCTGTTGTATGTATTTTCAAATACCAATATTGTAAAAATGATTAGCCCTAGTCTTTTTTTATTTTTAAAAATGTTTATTAAATTAAAAACAATAAAAAAATCTTATTTTACATACCAATCCCAATTCCCTCTCCATCCTGTCCTTCATTCCCCCCCCCATCTCCTCATTCCATCCCCTATCTCAAAATAAAACAAAAGCCTCTACTCATTTTCCACTTTCAAGGCTTTTGCTTATTTTTGAGATAGAATCTTGCTGTGTAGCTCAGGCCAGCCTTGTAGCAAGCCTCTTGCCTCAGTTTCTTTTTTTTTCCTAGATTTTTTAAAAATTAAAAACAATCTTATCTTACATATCAATCCCAGTTCCCTCTCTCCCCCATCCTCCCATGCCCCCCACTAATCCCCCTATCCCATCCCCCTTCTGCTCTCCAGGGAGGGTGAGGCCTTCCATGGGGGATTGTCAAAGTCTGTCACATCATTTGGGACAGGACACAGGCCCTTCCCTGTGTTTCTAGACTGAGAGTGTCCCTCTATGGGAAATGGGCTCCCAAAGTCCATTAGTACACTAGGGATAAATAGTGTTCCACTACCAGAGTCCCCATAGATTGCCTAGGCCTCCTAACTGACACCCATGTTCAGAGGGTCCTATGCTGGTTTCCCATATGTCAGTCTGGGACCATGTTCAGGTCCCCTTGTTCAGGGTTTCCTCAGCCTGGTCTTGACCCCTTTGCTCATCACTCCTTCCTCTCTACAACTAGATTCCAGGAGTTTGGCTCAGTGCTTAGCTGTGGGTCTCTACTTCGCTTCCATCAGCTCTACTGGATGAAGGCTCTAGGATTGTATATAAAGTAGTCATCAATCTCATTATAGAGGAAGGGCATTTAAGATAGCCTCTCCACTATTGCTTAGACTCTTGTTTTTTGTTTTGTGTTTTGAGACAGGGTTTCTCTGTATTACTTTGGAGCCTGTCCTGGAACTAGCTCTGTAGACCAGGCTGGCCTTGAACTCACAGAGATTCACCTGCCTCTGCCTCCTGAGTTCTGGGATTAAAGGCGTGTGCCACCAACACCCGGCTATTGCTTAGTTTCTTATTTGGAGTCATCCTTGTAGATCCCTAGTTCTAGATTTCTCTTTAAGCCTATAATGGCTACCTCTATTAAGGTATCTCTTTTCTTGCTCTCCTCTATTCTTCCCTCTATCCATTCTTCAGTTGAGGAGCATCTAGGTTGCTTCCAGATTCTGGTTATTATAAATAATGCTGCTATGAACATAGTTGAACAGATGTCTTTGTTGTATGTATGTGCATCCTTTGGGTATATGCCTAAGAGTGGAATTGCTGGATCTTGAGGTAGACTGATTCCCATTTTCCTGAGGAATGCCATACTGATTTCCAAAG